GGAGTGGTTGGTGCAATTATTTAATAAATGTATGGAAGAGGGTAAGGTACCTAGGGATTGGCAGAGAGCATGCATAGTTCCTTTGTATAAAGGCAAAGGGGATAAAAGAGAGTGCAAAAATTATAGGGGGATAAGTCTGTTGAGTATACCTGGTAAAGTGTATGGTAGAGTTATTATTGAAAGAATTAAGAGTAAGACGGAGAATAGGATAGCAGATGAACAAGGAGGCTTTAGGAAAGGTAGAGGGTGTGTGGACCAGGTGTTTACAGTGAAACATATAAGTGAACAGTATTTAGATAAGGCTAAAGAGGTCTTTGTGGCATTTATGGATTTGGAAAAGGCATATGACAGGGTGGATAGGGGGGCAATGTGGCAGATGTTGCAGGTGTATGGTGTAGGAGGTAGGTTACTGAAAGCAGTGAAGAGTTTTTACGAGGATAGTGAGGCTCAAGTTAGAGTATGTAGGAAAGAGGGAAATTATTTCCCAGTAAAAGTAGGCCTTAGACAAGGATGTGTGATGTCACCGTGGTTGTTTAATATATTTATAGATGGGGTTGTAAGAGAAGTAAATGCGAGGGTCTTGGCAAGAGGCGTGGAGTTAAAAGATAAAGATAAAGTGGGAGTTGTCACAGTTGCTCTTTGCTGATGACACTGTGCTCTTGGGAGATTCTGAAGAGAAGTTGCAGAGATTGGTGGATGAATTTGGTAGGGTGTACAAAAGAAGAAAATTGAAAGTGAATACAGGAAAGAGTAAGGTTATGAGGATAACTAAAAGATTAGGTGATGAAAGATTGGATATCAGATTGGAGGGAGAGAGTATGGAGGAGGTGAATGTATTCAGATATTTGGGAGTGGACGTGTCAGCGGATGGGTCTATGAAAGATGAGGTGAATCATAGAATTGATGAGGGGAAAAGGGTGAGTGGTGCACTTAGGAGTCTGTGGAGACAAAGAACTTTGTCCTTGGAGGCAAAGAGGGGAATGTATGAGAGTATAGTTTTACCAACGCTCTTATATGGGTGTGAAGCATGGGTGATGAATGTTGCAGCGAGGAGAAGGCTGGAGGCAGTGGAGATGTCATGTCTGAGAGCAATGTGTGGTGTGAATATAATGCAGAGAATTCGTAGTTTGGAAAGTTAGGAGGAGGGTGCGGGATTACCAAAACTATTGTCCAGAGGGCTGAGGAAGGGTTGTTGAGGTGGTTCGGACATGTGGAGAGAATGGAGCGAAACAGAATAACTTCAAGAGTGTATCAGTCTGTAGTGGAAGGAAGGCGGGGTAGGGGTCGGCCTAGGAAAGGTTGGAGGGAGGGGGTAAAGGAAGTTTTGTGTGCGAGGGGCTTGGACTTCCAGCAGGCATGCGTGAGCGTGTTTGATAGGAGTGAATGGAGACAAATGGTTTTTAATACTTGACGTGCTGTTGGAGTGTGAGCAAAGTAACATTTATGAAGGGGTTCAGGGAAACCGGCAGGCCGGACTTGATTCCTGGAAATGGGAAGTACAGTGCCTGCACTCTGAAGGAGGGGTGTTGATGTTGCAGTTTAAAAACTGTAGTGTAAAGCACCCTTCTGGCAAGACAGTGATGGAGTGAATGATGGTGAAAGTTTTTTTTTTTCGGGCCACCCTGCCTTGGTGGGAATCGGCCAGTGTGATAATAAATAAATAAAAAAATATTTCTTCTGGGGAAAATTAACTCTACTAACGATAATTTTGACTAACGATGAGCTCTCAGGAACGGATTAATATCGTTGGTCGAGGGTCCACTGTATAAAAATAATAATAATGATGATCATTTTTATTTTAGCATGATACATGTTTGTACAAAGGAGTATAACAGTTCAGTGTACATGCCAAAAGCTCCTTTATAATAATAATAATATAATAATATCTTTATTTACTACAAGTACAAAGACAGTGATTATGTATGAGTGAGGTGAAAGTGTTAAATGATGATGATGGGGATTTTCTTTTTTTTTTTTTTTTAGTCACCCTGCCTCAGTGAGTGATGACCAACGTGTTGAAAAAAAGTCATATACATGTACAAGGTATACAGGCCTAGCTGACATAATGGCATACTGCTATATAGAAAGCTGCTTGTTGTGCAGAGCATTTCGGGCAAATTAGGTCAGTTTTCTCCCAGGATGTGACCCATGCCAGTCGACTAACTCCCAGGTACCCATTTTACTTTTGGGGAACATAGACAACTGGTGTAAAGAAATATGCCCAATGTTTCTACCCTCGCTGGGAATTGAACCGAGACCTTCACAATGTGAAGAGAGCTTTAGCCACCAGGCCACGGGGCACCACAATTATATGCAGAGCTTTTCGGGCAAACTTAGGACTAACTTAAGATTAATAAGGCAATATCAGTGTAATAATTGTACATATGGTCATTGGGTGAGTTACAATGATTACAAGAAAATTGAATATTCTATTAGATAAGATAAGATTTTGTTCGAATTTTTAATCCCAGAAGGTTGGCCACCCAAGATAACTCAAGAAAGGCAGTGCATCATTGAGGACTGTCTTATTTCCATTTGGGTCCTCAATCTTGTCTCCCAGGATGCGACCAACACCAGTTGCCTAACACCCAGGTGAACAGGACAACAGGTGTAAGGAAATGCATTGAAATGTTTCCACCCCACTGGGAATCGAACCCAGGCCCTCCGCATGTGAAGCGAGAGCTTTGCTGGCCAGGCCACGGGTCCACATGCTATACGACTTTAGTAAGTTTGGTAGAGAAGAATTACAGTTTTGATTATTAACCTAAGGTGAACACAGTGGAATGATTAACATTACATTTGAGAGGAGTACAGATATTGTTTTACCTACGTTCATGCTATTGAACAAATGCATGTATGGTTTTTACATATTTATTTATGATGGGCTAGGATACGTTAAAGAGATAAAGTGTTTTCTAACTGTAGTTTTAAAAATGCTTGCTGCTCTGTAGATTTCTGGCAGTGTGTTCCAGATTTTGGGTCCTTTTATATACATTGAGTTTTTGAAAAGATTTAGCCTGACATGGGGAATGTCATAGAGATTTTTGTGTCTGGTATTGTGTCCATGTCTCCTTTTGCAACTGTCAAGAAAGCTCTTCAGGTCAGGATTTATATTGGAATTGATTGTTCTGTAAATGTAGTTTGCACAGTAGTATGAGTGGATGTTTTGTATGGCAAGTAGGTTTAGGTCTTTGAAAAGTGAGGGGGGGGGGAGGAGCTATGGAATGTGTGATCATTCGCACTGCAGCTTTTTGTTAGGATATTATTGACTTTAGGTGATTTGTTGTTGTGGAGCCCCAGGCACAAATTGCATAGGTGAGGTAGGGGTAGATCATTGAATAGTATAGTGCAAGTAATGTTCTTTGTGGTACATAGTAACGTAATCACATTGAGCTATTTTATAAGAAAGAAAACCTTGCCAAAACTCTGTACAGGTAATGAGGGTTTTCTTTGACTCTTTACCATGTTTATTATGCAGTGTCAGTTTCCATAAGTCCTCTAGGCTCTTAATTCTGCCAATCCATAAAATCATCTTATTTCTCAATATTAACCAAATCGGCCAAAACATTGCTAATTAGTTTTATTATGTAACCTCCTGGCTTTTAATTCTGCCATTCCATAAAATATTAACACCTCTACCATTACTTGTAAGGTAGATTTTGTGTGCAATTTCAAGATTATTTTACCGAACCCTACCCACTTGTATTAAGTTTAAACAAGATTGTAAAACAGCTAACCACTATTACTTGTCTAGTTTTAAGTATAGTTACTATGTACTATTATCTTATCTAGTTTTAATTAGTTACTATGTATATATTAGGATTAGTTCGCCCGAAATGCCTCGGCATGATAATGGCTATCTTTGTACTTAGCAAATCAAAATTGTAATTACACATTGTAACCTTTACAAAGAAATAAACTTTACTTTATAATACTGTAAATTATCACACCCAGAGAGCTTACAGTGCTATACTCCATATGAAAATAAGCAAATAATTGTTCCTCAAGGAAGAGTTTGTAAGGTACGTATATGTATCTAGTAACTTGGTAGAGCATTCAACGGAGAACTGAAGAGAGTTATGATTCCTGTTTTAAGTGAAGCAAGACATATGGGAAAATCTTCCTATGCCTTTTGCCTCTGTTCACTAGCAGCAAATAAGTGCTGCACTGTACTTAATTGACTGTTGTGGGTTATGTTTTAAGGGAGAGACCCTAAAGTCCTCAATTTAAATATTGTAAGTTGCATTCATTGGCATTTTTGGGTTATCCTAGAATGGGGCAGATAATTTATAGAAAGTCTTTATTAGTTCATTGTGTAGTATGTTAAAATCTTCTCTCACTGTATATTGTTAATTAAAATATAAAACAATGATGTTGAAATTCTAGTGGTAGACATCCAAAACAAAGAGGGATGTAATGGATTACAACCTTCTTTGTTTTGGATGTCTACCACTAGAATTTCAACATCAGTGTTTTATATTTTAATTTATGTAGCTTGTAGCATTTCTTTTACCAATATTGGTAATTTGCCTCCTTTTAATCCTACTCGGCCCTTCACACTGAGTATTGGTAGTTTTTATTGAATGTTATTTAATTTAGAATATTAGCAATAAGTTTTTGTTAATAAGACATTTATTGCAGCTATGTTTCACTCATAATGATCTTAATCAAGCCAGTACATTAAAAATGTTCTCTATTGTTTCCCTCCAACCCAAATCTCTCTCCACTCTGGTCATTCTTATGAATGTCAGTTCTACACAGTATTAACTAGAATAGAACAGTATATTGAAAGAGAGATGATCTCTTGAAACACAAATGGGCCCAAATCTGAAGCAAAATTTATTATGCAGACATTATGTACGTGAAGGAATGTAACCTCAAATTTGGAGTGCCAGCTCAGCTGTACTTTGTTATTATGGAAGGTAGGTGAGTGTGTGTACTGTATGTGTTGCAAATTGTAGTTGGATGGAATGTTAGTAAATATTTTGGTGTTGTTGCAGGAAAATGGACAAGATAAGCAGACTCCCATGGAAGAAGGTGATAAGGAATCTGAAAAAGCAAAAGAGGGAGAAGCTAAAGGTGATAAAGGTTTGTTTACAGTTTTTTCAAATAATATATAGTACCTCTGTATCTGCTAAGTACATGTATAGCTTCAAAACTGTCATAAATGTACAATGTGTTCAGTTAACTATTTGTAATTGAAAGGGTACAACTATGTTCATAATGTTCTGTCTTTAGTGTTTAGTTTGTCATAGAGTTGCTTATTAAGTTTCCAACAGCATTGTTTATAAATAAATATTTTTGTGACTTATTGTTTTTTCAAAGAATCTTATCAAATTTGTTTTATATGCATTTGTGATCCTGTATGTTGTTATCATGAATTCTATTTCTCTCCGCATTTTCAGTGTTTGTAATTCATATTTAATTAAACGGAATTTTTTTGTAGCATGTTTATAGACTTACTGGCTCTCATTTTTACTGTATGTCCACCACAGGTTATTTTGAAGTTCTCTTGTACAGTATATATTAATCTCTCCATACAATAATGCATTTGTGATCTGGTAATTGTTTGTAATTACAGTACTCCCCTATCCTTTATCTGTCCAGTGTTTTTAGTATTTTTCACAGTGTTACTGTTACAGAGGCATTGGAAGACGACCAAAACACAGGTATGATTTACACAGATTTTGTAAAGGCTTTTGACAAATGCGATCTTGGAGTGATAGTGCACAGAATGAGGGCCATGGGCATTATGGGGAAGGTAGGCAGATGGATTTTCGGGTTCCTAACTCACAGAACACAAAACGTTGTAGTGAACAGGGCAAGGTCCAGCATCAACGAGATCAAAATCTCAGTGCCCCAATTCACCGTCCCGGCACCTCCTGTTTCTCATCCTCATGGCAGACATAGATAAAAACACCTAGCACACTTTTGTATCATCATTTGCATGAAAGTCACTATGGTAGAGGACACTGAAAAAGTACAGGAAGACATTAGCAGGTTTTCCAGTGGGCAGTGGAGAACAACATGATGTTCAATGGTGATAAGTTCCAGCTGCTTAGGTATGGAAAGAATGAAGAACTCAAAAGGTACACTATATACAAAACTCAAGAGGGTCGCCAAATAGAATGTAAGGAACACGTAAAGACCGGGAAAAATTTGCCCGGGGCCTTTTTTTTAAAAGACCATAACAAGACAAAGATCGACACCAGAAGAGACTGGGTGGGGGATTGAAAAATTTTAAAACAAGGGAAATAAGCCAATGGTGACAACTTCTATCACTGGTCTCCTCACTTTGAATATTGCCCCCAGTGCTGATGGGCCCGTTTAGAGCAGGAGAAAAAACAAGCTGGAGCAAATAAAAATTTTTTACAGTCACATTGAGCCAGTAAAGCACCTAAACTATGGAAAGCCTTTAAGTCTTTACATGTACTCATTAGAGCGGGGAAGAAGAGAAACCCCAAAGAATATTGGAAGGTACTCGAGGGCTTGGTCCCCAAATCTGCACAATCCCAAAAAAACCATACTGGAGTGAGAGGGTTGGAGGGAAATGAAAATAAACCCCGTGAGAAGCAGGGGGGCGGGGGGGACAAAAAGGGGAACAAATTTTTCAACACCAGGGTCCCACACAATTGAAAAACTTGCCAAAGATATCAAAACATGGGTAGAACAAGTGTAAAGCCTTTAAGAAGAAACTGGCAAGTATCTTCACGAGGTGCCAATCAACCAGGGTGTAGGATTTTGTGGGGCAGCAGGCCTCCAGCAGCAAAAAAAATGGTTCCAGGCAAGCACCGGACAAGCCGGCCCCTGGGCCCGGCCAGAGAGTAAGAAACTCTTGGGAAAATCTTCAAGGTATAACAAGGGTAAAGGTAAACAATGTGGTTGTTTTGGGTTTTTTCTTGTTTCAATAGCTACATTAAAAAACTGATAATTCATCTATCACTCCACTTGCTAAATTTATTAATATCGTAATGGAATTTAAGGTAATTATATTTGCTGTTTTCTGTTTTTTTTTTTTTAAAACATCTACCATTTTTGCACTGTGCAGTATGGTATTTAAATTCATTATAGTTAACCATAACAGATAAGTCAAATTAAACTGATTGTGTACATGTACAGTGGAACCCCAGATTTGGCATGCACCGGATATCGGACTTTTTGGATTTCAGGTATTTTTTTGTGAAATTTTGCTTTGAATTTTGGACCTTGTCCCGAAAATCGCACGTGTCAGACACGTCCACCTGCTGGGATGCTGCTTCAGTCTGTCTCTGTCACTGGTTGAGTGAGCATTCATCTGAAACATTTTGCAATTTTTGTGCTTGTTTATTGATTGTGACTGCAAAATAAGCCACCATGGGCCCAAAGAAAGTTCCTAGTGCCCAGTGACATTGCTAGGGTTGGTGTCACCTGGGGCGGAATCTTTGGTGTCACCCGGGGCTGCATTTTTGGTGTCACCCCCCTGAAATCCAAGGGCAGGGGGATGGGGGGGAGTAAACATCAGTTATGTCACTACTGCATGACCAATATTAATGTTTAGCAATGAGAATGTTTAAGGGCCATAAACCGAACAGGGGAATACTTCTCAACTTTATTAATGATAAAATATATAATGGTAGTAATATTTAGAAAATATAAACTCAAATACCACTTTGAGTACAGGCAACAGATCCTACATTTATTTATCTTCAACAATGCAAAAAAAAAAAAAAACTTGAAAAATAAAGAAAAACATTGCAGTATCAGAGTACAGGTAACATCTCACTGAATCTGATCTTACATTTCCTTGCCATCAGTCCTGCAGAATCATCTATCACATCATGAAAATCAATGATTTTCCCTATACTATAGGCCTATTTGCACTCTAATCATATAGGCTATATAGAAATGAAGGATTTTTCTCTTATGTTGGTGCAGCACTATTTTGTGCCTTAGTGTCACCTTCTTTAGAGGCTGTATGGTGTCATCTCCTAAATGGTGTCACCCATGGCAGACCGCCCCCCCCCCCTTACGACGCCACTGCTAGTGCCTGCCCTTTGATAAAAGGCTGAGAGACAGAGGGGAGAATGTGCCGCCTTCAGTGATTCTACGATATGTACAATACTAAAGCAGCAGGAATCAGTAAAGGCTATAGCGCCAGCCAGCAATGAAGAACATAAGAAAGAAGGAACACTGCAACAGGCCTACTGACCCATGCGGAGCAGGTCCATGTCCCACCCCCCGGATTAGACCAATGACCCACCCCCCGGATTATCCCAATGACCCACCCCCCGGATTATCCCAATGACCCACCCAGTCTGGTCATCCCCACTCAAGGATGGAGCACTGTACCAGACCCAGCAGCAAAGCTAGTCAGGTCCAACTCACACCCACCCACACCCACTCATGTATTTATCTAACCTATTTTTAAAACTACACAACGTTTTAGCCTCAATAACTGTACTCGGGAGCTTGTTCCACTCATCCACAACTCTATTACCAAACCAGTGCTTTCCTATATCCTTCCTGAATCTGAATTTTTCCAACTTGAAACCATTGCTGCGAGTCCTGTCTTGGCTGGAAATTTTCAGCACACTATTTACATCCCCTTTATTTATTCCTGTTTTCCATTTATGCACCTCGATCATATCTCCCCTACTTCTACGCCTTTCGAGAGAGTGCAGATTCAGGGCCCTCAGTCTATCCTCATAGGGAAGCTTTCTGATACATGGGATCATCTTTGTCATCCTCCTTTGTACGTTTTCCAGAGCATTTACATCCATTCTGTAATACGGTGACCAGAACTGAGCAGCATAGTCTAAATGAGGCCTAACCAAGGATATATAGAGTTGAAGAACAACCTGAGGACTTCTATTATTTATACTTCTAGATATGAAGCCAAGAATTCTGTTAGCTTTATTGCAAACACTAATGCACTGTTGTCTTGGTTTTAGATTACTGCTAACCAGAACTCCTAAATCCATTTTGCAATCGGTAGTATTAAGATCTACATTATTTAGTTTATATGTGGCATGGTTATTTAACTGTCCAACATTTAGAACTTTGCATTTGTCAATATTAAACTGCATCTACCACTTCTCCGACCATTGCGTCAGTCTATTCAAATCATCCTGGAGTGCTCTAATGTCCTCATTAGAATGAATTGGATGGCCTATTTTGGTGTCATCAGCAAATTTGCTTATGTCGCTATTTATTCCCTCATCTATGTCGTTTATGTAAATTGTGAACAACAACGGGCCCAACACTGACCCCTGAGGAACACCGCTTGTGACGTGCCCCCATTCTGATTTCTCCCCATTTATGCAAACTCTCTGCTGTCTATTTGTCAGCCATGCCTCTACCCAGGAAAAAATTTCTCCTATTCCGTGTGCCCTAAGTTTCCTCAATATCCTCTGGTGTGGAACTCTATCGAAAGCCTTACTGAAGTCCATATACACAATATCATATTCATTACCATGATCTACCTCCTCAAACACCTTAGTGAAAAAAGTTAGTAAATTCGTAAGACAGGAACGCCCCTTTGTAAAACCGTGTTGAGAATCATTAATCAATCTGTGCCTGTCAAGATGGCTACGAATTGCTTCGGCAATTATTGATTCCATAAATTTTCCCACTATGGAGGTAAGGCTTATTGGTGTATAGTTCGAAGCCAAGGACCTGTCACCTGCTTTGTAAATAGGTATTACATTTGCCATTTTCCACTTATCAGGCACTATGCCAGTTTGTAGTGATATGTTAAAAAGATTAGCCAAAGGTATGCTAAGTTCCTCTTTACATTCCTTTAACACCCTTGCAAACAGTTCATCAGGACCTGGGGATTTGTTAAGTTTTAGTTTCTCTATTTGTCTGAGGACCATGTCACTAGTTACCACTATCGTACATAGTTTATTATCATCCTGTTCTACTTAATCTATTATTTCAGGAATATCGCTAGTATTTTCCTGGGTGAAAACTGAGAGGAAGTAGGTATTTAGTATTTCACACATATCCTTATCACTGTCAGTGATCTGACCAGAGTTACTCTTAAGTGGGCCAATCTTGTCCCTAATCTTACTTCCGTATACCTGAAAGAACCCTTTTGGGTTAGTGTTTGAATCCCTTGTGACCTTAGCCTCATTATCCCTTTTTGCTTTTCTTATTCCATTTTTTATTTCTCTCTTTAATTGAATATATTGATTTCTTAACTGCCCATCCCCTCTTTTGATACGCCTATATATGCCTCTCTTTTGACCAATGAGATGTTTTAATCTATTGTTCATCCATTTGGGATAATTTTTGTTAGATCTAATTTCTCTACTCTGAACAAAAGCTGTCTGGGCAGCTAGAACTATGCTCTGAAAAATGTCATATTGGCAACCAAGATCACCTACCTGACCCATAGTCAGGACATCCCAATTTAGCCCGCCCAAGTAATTTTTCAGTCCCATGAAGTCGGCCAAGCGAAAATCTGGGACAGAGATTTGATTTCAGTTATCTGGGTAATTCCATGATATATTGAAACTAAGTGATTTGTGATCACTTTCCCCAAGCTCATCATTAACCTCAAGATTATTAATTAGTGAATCTTTGTTGGCAAGAACCAAGTCAAGCAGGTTGTTTCCTCTAGTTGGTTCTGTCACAACCTGTTCTAAAAAGCAATCCTGAACCGCATCAAGAAAGTCACTAGACTCAAGATTTCCTGTCATATTGTTCCAATCAATTTGTCTAAAGTTAAAATCTCCCATTATCACAACATTTTCATATCTAGATGCCTTATGAATTTCGTCCCATAACAGCTTACTGCCCTCGCTATCAAAGTTTGGGGGCTTATAAATCACACCCAAAATTAATTTGTCACATCCCTCGAGAAACTGTAGCCAAACCGATTCTGTGTTCGATGTTTCTAATCTTATATCATGTCTAAGACAACAATTTAAATTTTCTCTGACATACATTGCCACACCACCACCCTTCCTGTTGACCCTATCAGTGTGGAATAGTTTATAACCCTGTATGTTGCATTCAGAAGGCATTTCTCTATCTTTCAGGTTGAACCAGGTCTCTGTTATACCAATAATCTCCATATTACCTACACTTGCAAGTAATTTTAGCTCATCTATCTTATTTCTTAGACTCCTACTATTTGTATAGTAAACCTTTAGGGAGCTAGTCACTCGTTGTCCTCTACTATCTCTCTTTGTTTATCAATTGATTTGCCATTACTAGCAACTTTATTTTGAATATTGTCTTTTAAACATATCCCTGAGGTATCCCGGTAATAACTGCTGTTTTTAATCCTAATGCTGCAGCCTGATTGTTTCCCACAAACACCCATACCTCTATAATCTATCAGTTTAAATTCCTAGACAAGTCATCAATTACCCTCTCAATTGAATTGGCTAATGCAACCACTCCATCCCCAGAGAGATGAACCCCATCCCTTGGATACATATCACATTTGCCAAAGAAAAGGTCCCAGTTATCAATGAATGGGATTGCAAGTTCCTTGCAGTACCTGTCTAGCCAGCGATTTATACCAATTGCCCTAGACATCCATTCATTGCCCACTCCCTTTCTAGGCAAGATGCTACATATGACTGGGATCCCTCCCTTAGACCTAACTACTTCTATGGCTGACCTGTACTTATTAAGCAGCTCCTCTCTCCTGCCCTTCCCAATGTCATTACCCCCAGCACTAAGACAGATAATGGGCTTGTTCCCATTACCTGCCATAATATTATCCAACCTGCTGACTATGTTGCCAACACCAGCTCCAGGAAGACACACACTGTCTGAACTTTCTGTCTCTGTTACAAAATGCACGGTCCATATATCTTACATGAGAATCACCTACTATTAAAATATTCTTACCTTGATTAACAGGGGAATCAGTGGTACCTTCAACCTCACTAACCACTGAAGTACACACGTCTTGGAAAACAGAATCGATTTCCTACCTTCACATCTTCTCTATTAACTCTCCTCATCTTCCTTCTTCCTGAAACTGTGAACCACTTGCCACTTAAAGTGGCTGCCACTATCACTGCTGGTGACCATTCCTTCCTTACCAGCTAAATCCTTCTCACACTCACTCCCAAACTCATCTATGCGAAGCTTCAGCTTCCTATTTTCCTCCTGAAGAAGTAGAATCTCCTTCTTCAACACATGAACCTGGGATTCTAAAACACTACAACAAGCCATGGTATGGGTAACAGCCCACGCTAACTCCCAAGAGCTTGGCAGGTATGACCGCACTTGACCACTGACCTCGAAGTGTAGCATTAACAATGTAGCAAGTAAGTTAAGCAACTAAGTGATAGAAAAAGGACGACACAAAACTCCTCCAATGTTGTTGGAGGTATGTAGGTCCACTGACAACATTTGCCGCCCTGCATATCTTCCACCACCCGAAACCAATGCCAACATCTCCTCCAAGGTAAGTGTAAATATTTCTTATTTATAAAGTGTAAATATTTCTTATTTATAAAGTGTAAATATTTCTTATTTATAAATTAGTATAAATATTTCTTATTTATAAATTAGTGTAAATATTTCTTATTTATAAAGTGTAAATATTTCTTATTTCTAAATTAAAGTATAAATATTTCTTATTTATAAATTATGTACATTGTTTCAGTGTGAATAGTGGTGGTGGCCTCTGCTGCCACCACCACTATACGTGCAGCTTATGCTGTCAGTGGCCCTGATAAACCCAACAACACCACCACCATCACCACTCCCCCATTCATTCTAGAGTACAGTGGTACCTTGACTTACAAGTTTAATTCGTTCTGTGACCAAGCTCGTAACTCAATTTGCCTGTATATCAAATCAATTTTCCTCATCGATATTAATTGAAATGCCATTAATCTGTTCTAGCCCCCAAAAAACTACCCCACATATTTGTCTGTCTGTCTAAATATGTCTATGTTTATCTCTGTCTCTGCTTATCTGTCTTTCTGTCTGCCTGTGTTTTTGTCTTCCTGTCTCTCTACTTGTCTTTGTCTCAGAGAGAGAGCCACTCATGAACCAACAGGTATTACACATGATGCAGAGTCATCACGTCTGATTCCTGAGCAAGTGAATTTGTGTATTACTTGCCAGTCATGCTTATTATGCCTTATATCTACAAGCATAGTATAGTACTTTGTCTGCATTTTTTGGGTTATCCTAGGTAATTTACATTATGTATAACTGTATTTGTGTGTACCTGTGAGATAGAGACAGAGATAGAGATACAGACAGAGACAGGAGATAGAGACAGCCAAAGCATATCAGCCAGCTGGTAGGCCTGCTGCAGTGCTCCTCATTGCTGACATTCTACTTTTAAGCCTTTCCTTGTATGACACTACAGATTCATCATCTCATTTCATTCTCCAATCTAAAAGGCTTCTTTCTTATGCTTCAGTTTCATTTTGATAGAGACTGGAGCTGAGTACTTTTCAGAGCTGAGAGACTGACCACCTCGAAACTACTACTACGTAGGTGAGGGACTGATCACTTAGTCTTTATCTCTCGACTGCTTCTGCTGTTTCCAGTATTTGATAAAGAAATCTGTAAACAGGTGAAACATTTTGTGAATAAAGATTATACCCAACTGTTGCATATGACTTGCTCATCTATCATCAGTTTATTTAAATCCTAAAAAAAAAAAAAAGAGCTTACCTCCTAAGTAATCTTACTTTGAGATGGATATTTTGTTAGTTTTGGGTCTTTAATGAAATATACTGAGAAAGCTATCGTAAAATAGTCAAGTTTTGTGTCTAAGCTAATGATCCTCCTCATGGTGTTGATATCTTGAGTTATGCTGGAATACGATACACTTTTTCTCGCTCATCTTGATGCAGCTGAAGCATAGGATTTTATACTGTATAGTATAATTTGTAGTTGAAATTTTCATTAATAATTTCATTTTTTTTTCTGAAACGTCTAGGTCCTCTACAAAATAATTTAGAATTACATTGTTACTGCAACATAGTTCACTTTCACAGAAGAATCTCAAATTGGGCATCTGGCTCTTTTATAATTATTCTGTCTCTAAATTTATAGTGTACAACTAGGCAAGATTAGTGTTTGAAGTAAAAGTTAAAAATTTAGTAATATTTTTTATTCATTGGTCATTTCTTGCCATGGTAGGGTGACCCAAAGAAAAAACAGCCACCATCTTTCCCTGGTTGTCTTTTCAGAAGTGCTGAAACATCATAATTTTAGTGATACACTGAACTGTTGCGTATCTGGAAATAAAATTACCTATGCGTGTAGGGCAAAATTTTAAATTTTATGCCGCAACAGCGGTATAAAATTTAAATGACCTAACCATCTCAACAATTTGCAGAAATGGAAGAGAAATGCAGACAAGAAAACTTTTAATTTATGGAGCTGGAAGGCAAACACTGATAAAAATTCTAACATCAGATGTTTTATAAAATCATTTAAAATATTCCCATTTCTGTAGAAAAAGAAGGTGAGAAGGAGGATGGTGAGAAAGGAGATGATGATGACAGCAGTGATGATGATGACCTGACCATTACTATTGGTGTTATAAAAACACAACCGGATATTATACAAGCCCCGACTGCTCCCCACTCAGCTAGGTTCCAGCCTAAGGTAATTCTGAATTATTTTTTTATTCTTAAGAGTCAGACAAAAAGGACGTAGGTAAGTACTGGTTTTCAAACTGTAAGTAGGGTAATAGAAACTGAAACCTTGGGTAGCCAAGGTGGATGGCTGTGGTGTTAATAGCTGTGGTTCTTGTGTGGATATCAGTGTAAAGTAGTCAGTGGATGATAGTTGTACTGGAATTCTTGGGTATTTTGTAATTTGTCTGCTGTGTTTTTTCCTGCAGTACTTTGTACAGCTGATCACAAGACATTATCACCTGCTCGAGAGCTTGCTTCAAAGAAATGCTTCTAGATATGTCAGGGTACCTATCTGTTGAAAAGTCTTCAGCTTTACCAGTAGTATGCAACTTGTCAGGTATCTTTTGGAGAGTCAACTATATAGGTACAGGTTTTAACTGAGAATCGAGTGCCTCCAACATTTCTTTATTTGTTTGTTCTTCATCATCTTAAGCAGTCTATTTACACCTTCCTGCAGTTCTTCAAAGCCCTCAACTGGCACTCTCCTTGCCAAATTCACAATTTCTTAAGGTCGACTCTCTGTTCAGGGAATACCTGTGAAATTATTCACTTCACTAGGTCATAATGTTCACCAGCCTGCATTTATTGTTGATTAGGAAACCTCATCCCATGCATCTTTTGCATTGGTTATTGTATCTGCACTGTTAAATTTATACCTGAACTCTAGCATTCCAGTGTCAGAGTTGTCATCCATTGCTGCAAGGAAATTATTTTGTAACACTTAAATGTCTTAAAAACTCCCCAGTCCAGTAGTTTTGCCAAGGAAGTTGTATTTGATGGTAAAAGGCCAACCTTCACTTATGAGAGCAGTGCTGCATGACCTCAGGTTTAGTGCATAATTTGATTATATTATTATTATTATTATTATTCACATTTGGATCAATAATCTACAAGGGGTTGAGGAGAAACTTGAATTCAAGCTTCTGCTGGAACAGGAACATCTTGACTGAAGGAATGAAATAATGCTTGCACCAGTCATTAAACAGTATCTACCACATCCCTGTCTTGTTAGGCCACCAAACAAAAGGCAAAGTGATTTTGTTTTTATCTTTTAACCCTTAAACTGTTGTATCTTAAAATAAAATTACCTGTGCATGTAGGGCAAAATTTAAAATCTTATGCCACAACAGTAGCATAAATATGCAAGTGGGGCAACTGATATATTGGATCATTATTTAGTTGTAGCTACAGTTAGAGTAAGAGGTAGATGGGACAAGAGGAAATTAGCAACAACAAGTAAGAGGGAGGTGAAAGTGTATAAACTGAGGGAGGAGGAAGTTCGGGTGAGATATAAGCAACTATTGGCAGAAAGGTGGGCTAGTGCAAGTATAAATAGTGGGAGGTTGAAGAGGGTTGGAATAGTTTTAAAAATGCAGTATTAGAATGTGGGGCAGAAGTTTGTGGTTATAGGAGGGTGGGTGCAAGAGGAAAGAGGAGTGATTGGTGGAGTGATGAAGTAAAGGGTGTGATAAAAGACAAAAAAGTAGCTTATGAGAGGTTTTTACAAAGCAGAAGTGTTATACGAAGAGTAGAGTTATGGAGAGTAAAGAAAGGTGAAAGGGGTGGTGAGAAAGTGCCAAAAGGAGAGCAGATGATAGAGTGGGAGAGGCACTGTCAAGAAATTTTAATGAGAATAAGAAAAAATTTTGGAGTGATTTAAACAAGTTAAGAAAGCCTAGGGAATGAATGGATTTGTCAGTTAAAAACAGAGTAAGGGAGTTAGTAGATGGGGAGATGGAGGTGTTGGGTAGATGGTGAGAATACTTTGAGGAACTTTTAAATGTCGATGAAGAAAGGGAGGCGGTAATTTCATGCACTGGCCAGGGAGGCGTGAAGAAGAGCAGTATGTGAGTGTGGGGGAGGTATGTGAGGCATTACGTAGAATGAAAGGGGGTAAAGCAGCTGGAACTGACGGGATCATGACAGAAATGTTAAAAGCAGTGGGGGAGATGTAGTGTTGGAGTGGTTGGTATTTTTGTTTAATAAATGTATGAAAGAGGGGAAGGTACCTAGGGATTGGTGGAGAGCATGTATAGTCCCTTTATATAAAAGGAAAGGGGGACAAAAGAGATTGTAAAAATTATAGAGGAATAGTTTTACTGAGTATACCAGGAAAAGTGTACAGTAGGGTTTTTTATTGAAAGAATTAGAGGTAAGACAGAATGTAGCATTGTGGATGAGCAAGGAGGTTTTAGAGTGGGTAGGGGATGTGTAGATCAAGTGTTTACATTGAAGCATATATGTGAACAGTACTTAGATAAAGGTAGGGAAGTTTTTATTGCATTTATGGATTTAGAAAAGGCATATGATAGAGTGGATAGGGGAGCAATGTGGCAGATGTTGCAAGTATATGGAATAGATGGTAAGTTACTAAATGCTGTAAAGAGTTTTTATGAGGATAGCGAGGCTCAGGTAAGGGTGTGTAGAAGAGAGGGAGACTACTTCCCGGTAAAAGTAGGTCTTAGACAGGGATGTGTAATGTCACCGAGGTTGTTTAATATATTTATAGATGGAGTTGTAAAAGAAGTAAATGTTAGGGTGTTCGGGAGAGGGGTAGGATTAAATTATGGGGAATCAAATACAAAATGGGAATTGATACAATTACTTTTTTGCTGATGATACTGTGCTTATGGGAGATTCTAAAGAAAAATTGCAAAGGTTAGTGGACGAGTTTGGGAGTGTGTGTAAAGGTAGAAAGTTGAAAGTGAACATAGAAAAGAGTAAGGTGATGAGGGTATCAAATGATTTAGATAAAGAAAATTGGATATCAAATTGGGGAGGAGTATGGAAGAAGTGAATGTTTTCAGATATTTGGGAGTTGACGTGTCAGTGGATGGATTTATGAAGGATGAGGTTAATCATAGAATTGATGAAGGAAAGAAGGCGAGTGCTGCATTGAGTTTTTTTTTTTTTTTTTTTTTTTTTTCAACAAACCGGCCGTATCCCAACAAGGCAGGGTGGCCCAAAAAAGAAAAACAAAAGTTTCTCTTTTTAAATTTAGTAATTTATACAGGAGAAGGGGTTACTAGGCCCTTACTCCCGGCATTTTAGTCGCCTCTTACAACACGCATGGCTTATGGAGGAAGAATTCTGTTCCACTTCCCCATGGAGATAAGAGGAAATAAACAAGAACAAGAACTAGAAAGAAAATAGAAGAAAATCCAGAGGGGTGTGTATATATATGCTTGTACATGTATGTGTAGTGTGACATAAGTGTAAGTAGAAGTAGCAAGATGTATCTGAAATCTTGCATGTTTAAGAGACAGAAAAAAGACACCAGCAATCCTACCATCATGTAAAACAATTACAGGATTCCATTTTACACTCGCTTGGCAGGACGGTAGTACTTCCCTGGGCGGTTGCCGTCTACCAACCTACTACCTACATTGAGATATATGTGGAGACAAAGTAAAAAAATGTTATCTATGGAGGCAAAGAAGGGAATATATGATAGTGGTACCAACACACTTATATGGGTGTGAAGCTTGGGTTGTAAATGCTGCAGTGAGGAGGCAGTGGAGATGTCATATCTAAGGCATTGTGTGGTGTAAATATTATGCAGAAAATTCAGAGTGTGGGAATTAGGAGAAGGTGTGGAGCTAATAAAAGTATTAGTCAGAGGGCTGAAGAGGGGTTGTTGATGTGGTTTGGTCATTTGGAGAGAATGGATCAAAGTAGAATGACATGGAGAGCATGTAAATCTGTAGGGGAAGGAAGGCGGGGTAGGGGTCGTCCTCAAAAAGGTTGGAGGGAGGGAGGTAAAGGAGGTTTTGTGGGAGAGGGGCTTGGATTTCCAGCAAGTGTGCGTGAGCGTGTTAGATAGGAGTGAATGGAGATGAATGGTATTTTGGACCTGACGTGCTGTTGGAGTGTGAGCAGGGTAATATTTAGTGAAGGGATTCAGGGAAACCAGTTATTTTTATATAGCCTGACTTGAGTCCGGCTATATAAAAATAACCTCATCACCTTACTCTTATCTATATTTACTTTCAACTTTCTACCTTTACACACCCTCCAAAACTTGTCCACTAACTTTTGCAACTTTTCTTTAGAATCCCCCAAAAGCACAGTATCATCAGCAATAAGTAGCTGTGTCAACTCCCATTTTGTATTTGATTCCCCATAATTTAATCCCACCCCTCTCCCCAACACCCTAGCATTTACTTCTTTTACAGCCCCATCTGTAAATATGTTAAACAACCGTGGTAACATTACACATCCCTGTCTAAGACCTACTTTTACTGCGAAGTAATTTCCCTCTCTCCTACACACCCTAACTTGCACCTCACTATCCTCATAAAAACTCTTTACAGCATTTGGTAACTTGCTACCTGTTCCATACACTTGCAACATCTGCCTCATTGCTTCCCTATCCACTCTATCATATGCCTTTTCTAAATCCATAATTGCAATGAAAACTTCCCTACCTTTATCAAAATACTGTTCACATATATGCTTCAATGTAAACACTTGATCTACACAACCCCTACCCATTCTAAAGCCTCCTTGCTCATTTGCAGTTGTGCTCTCTGTCTTACCTCTAATTCTTTCACTAATAACCCTGCCATACACTTTACCTGGTATACTCATTAAACTTGTTTTTTTAACACATCAGTCATTTCCCACCTAGGCAGGGTGACCCAAAAAGAAAGAAAAATACTTTCATCATCATTCATCAGTAAACTTATTCCCCTATAATTTTTACAATCTCTCTTGTTCCCTTTCCCATTATTTAAAGGAATTATACATGCTCTATGCCAATCCCTATGTACCTTCCTCTCTAAATATTATATATTTTTATTTTATTTTATTTTTTTTTACAAGTTAGCTGTCTCCCACTGAAGCAGGGTGACCCAGAAAGACAGAAAATCTCCAAAAAGAAAATACTTTCATCATCATTCAACTCTTTCACCTCACTCACACATAATCACTGTTTTTGCAGAGGTGCTCAGAACACAACAGCTTAGAAGTATATACGTATAAAGATACACAATATACCCCTCCAAACTGCCAATATCCCGAACCCCTCCTTTAGAGTGCAGGCATTGTACTTCCCATTTCCAGGACTCAAGTCTGGCTATATAAAAATAACCAGTTTCCCTGAATCCCTTCACTAAATATTACCCTGCTCACACTCCAACAGATCGTCAGGTCCCAAATGCCATTTGTCTCCATTCACTCCTATCGAACACGCTCACGCACGCCTGCTGGAAGTCCAAGCCCTTGCCCACAAAACCTCCCTTACCCCTTAATTAATTAAATTAATTAAATTAAGATTTTTTCAAATTTTTGGCCCAACATTGCCCACTTGGAATATACAATATAAATTGGTACAAATACTGTACAGTACTTGGACAGAGAGCAAAAGACTTCTCTCCCACAACAAATTAGAATGATATCATTATTTTATCTTCTGTAGAATTGCTATCATATGAGGTTTACAAGTAGTAGTTGGCTAAAAGCTAAGCCTTCACAATAATTTTTTGTAGCATTGAATTATTTTAAAAATATATTGTGGTTGTATCTTGTATCAAATTCTTTTATGTTCATGATTTTACTGTCATCCTAAATCTCGTTAAGTATTTTCGATGTTAGACCAGAACTCTTTGGAAAAAATTTCTCTAATATCATTATCACTTGACAGGCTGCACCAACCACAGGATTGAAGGATGATGATTTTAATTCTCCAGGAAAAATTAATGGAGTACCTATCACTGAATTTAATCTTGCTGACTTGGAGGATAAACCTTGGAGGTAAATCTAAGCATGTACTGTAATATTTACTTCTGATATTCTGGTCTGCAACTTAGCATTGATCTTTATTCACTGTCACACCTTGCCAGTTCATATCCACTCCATATTGTCTTGTCATTTTCTTTATTTTTTGTTGAACTGTACATTTTTCCAGAAGTATACAGACATGAGAATTTAAATTACATTCTTGAGCACAGCATCCCCACCCATCCTTCAGAGTGTGGGAACTACTTCCCACTATGGAAAAGAACACTTGTGTACAGTTCAGGACATTTCTTAAAGGAAACATTTTGCCATGAGTAGCTTCATCAACTCTTCAACAGTCATTTGGACTAATGAAGTTACTTGTGGGGAAATATTCCCTTTTATATAAATCCTGAACTGTACACAAGTGTCCTTTTCAACAGTTTGTCAGTATCACCATACCATTTGCAACTACTTCCCACCTACAAAACTAGTCCTGCTAACAGATTTTTCTGAATTCCTTCATAAATCTTACCTTGCTCACACAAGGTACATCACATTTCGAAAACCACTTGTCTCCACTCTCTGAATTTGATCAGAATTTTTTTTGGACATAGATGTAACAACGGATTTTTTGAATGCCTATAAGAGAGTAAGAGTTTTTTTTTTTTTTATAAAGATGTAGATGCAATATTAATCTGGATGAAAGAAAATAGATGTGAACAGGGCAGCTTAAATTTAGTATTATACTATTATTTGACATGGCAGAATACAGTGCTATAAAAATTTTGTGATGAAATTTTATATTCTTTCAGCTACAGTATAGAAAAAAAAATTGCACATTTGCACACACATGGCTTGTTTTGGCAAAATGGTCATTATTTAATAAATGTATGGAAGAGGGTAAGGTACCTAGGGATTGGCAGAGAGCATGCATAGTTCCTTTGTATAAAGGCAAAGGGGATAAAAGAGAGTGCAAAAATTATAGGGGGATAAGTCTGTTGAGTATACCTGGTAAAGTGTATGGTAGAGTTATTATTGAAAGAATTAAGAGTAAGACGGAGAATAGGATAGCAGATGAACAAGGAGGCTTTAGGAAAGGTAGGGGGTGTGTGGACCAGGTGTTTACAGTGAAACATATAAGTGAACAGTATTTAGATAAGGCTAAAGAGGTCTTTGTGGCATTTATGGATTTGGAAAAGGGTGGATAGGGGGGCAATGTGGCAGATGTTGCAGGTGTATGGTGTAGGAGGTAGGTTACTGAAAGCAGTGAAGAGTTTTTATGAGGATAGTGAGGCTCAAGTTAGAGTATGTAGGAAAGAGGGAAATTATTTCCCAGTAAAAGTAGGCCTTAGACAAGGATGTGTGATGTCACCATGGTTGTTTAATATATTTATAGATGGGGTTGTAAGAGAAGTAAATGCGAGGGTCTTGGCAAAAGGCGTGGAGTTAAAAGATAAAGAATCACACATAAAGTGGGAGTTGTCACAGTTGCTCTTTGCTGATGACACTGCTCTTGGGAGATTCTGAAGAGAAGTTGCAGAGATTGGTGGACGAATTTGGTAGGGTTTGCAAAAGAAGAAAATTAAAAATGAACACAGGAAAGAGTAAGGTTATGAGGATAACTAAAAGATTAGGTGATGAAAGATTGGATATCAGATTGGAGGGAAAGAGTATGGAGGAGGTGAATGTATTCAGATATTTGGAGTGGACGTGTCAGCGGATGGGTCTATGAAAGATGAGGTGAATCATAGAATTGATGAGGGGAAAAGGGTGAATGGTGCACTTAGGAGTCTGTGGAGACAAAGAACTTTGTCCTTGGAGGCAAAGAGGGGAATGTATGAGAGTATAGTTTTACCAACGCTCTTATATGGGTGTGAAGCAGGGTGATGAATGTTGCAGCAAGGAGAAGGCTGGAGGCAGTGGAGATGTCATGTCTGAGGGCAATGTGTGGTGTGAATATAATGCAGAGAATTCGTAGTTTGGAAGTTAGGAGGAGGTGCGGGATTACCAAAACTGTTGTCCAGAGGGCTGAGGAAGGGTTGTTGAGGTGGTTCAGACATGTAGAGAGAATGGAGCGAAACAGAGTGACTTCAAGAGTGTATCAGTCTGTAGTGGAAGGAAGGCGGGGTAGGGGTCGGCCTAGGAAAGGTTGGAGGGAGGGGGTAAAGGAGGTTTTGTGTGCGAGGGGCTTGGACTTCCAGCAGGCATCCATGAGCGTGTTTGATAGGAGTGAATGGAGACAAATGGTTTTTAATACTTGACGTGCTGTTGGAGTGTGAGCAAAGTAGCATTTATGAAGGGGTTCAGGGAAACCGGCAGGCCGGACTTGAGTCCTGGAGATGGGAAGTACAGTGCCTGCACTCTGAAGGAGGGGTGTTAATGTTGCAGTTTAAAAACTGTAGTGTAAAGCACCCTTCTGGCAAGACAGTGATGGAGTGAATGATGGTGAAAGTTTTTCTTTTTCGGGCCACCCTGCCTTGGTGGGAATCGGCCAGTGTGATAATAATAATAATAATAATTAATAAGACATGCCCACAAGTTTTAGTTTGTTAGCACATGTACATTTTTTAATTCACATTTGATTTCTGGTAAAAATATCAGTTATTTTATCTTGTCTTTCTTTCCAAGGAATCAGTAGTCTTGATTATACTTTTTCCAAAATTTAAACATAATGGCACTATTTATTCTTAGCCATTAGACCAGTATTCCCACCAAATTTCATTAATTTTAAAGTTGCTGAGGTAATGATGTCCTCTTGCAGCTACCAACCCATTCTCACCTCAGTAGTGATGCTTGGGCAGATTTCAATGGTTCTGTCTCTGCTCACCCACCACATTGTCAGATATTTCTTGGCTGCATTTTTAATTTGGTTATTTGTTGCTAAATTTGTTTTTATAGGGTTGTGTAACTTAACCTGAAAGACAACACAATAGTTTTTGTAGTTTTATAGGAAGTGTTAAGAAATTGACAATGAGAACCATGTAAGAAAATTGATATAGTAAAATTGAATGTAGGTTGAGATTCACCAGTACTGTATTTACAAGTATGACTAGAAAAGTTCTAGGCTAAGATACACCAGTATTGTATTTACAAGCATGATTAGAAGAAAAGGTCTCTGTAATATAGTCATTTACTCTTTGTTTCTAGCCCAGTATTCCTGCCAATATTCATTCAGATTTGTATATCAGTTTTCAGGATAATTTCCCAACTGCCTATTTTGAATTCTCTGGAAACATTTAACTGTTTGAATGAAATATGGTTTATTTTCACATTCTGATATTCCCACCCATTATATCTACCTGTTTTTAACCCTTTCAGGGTCCAAGGCCCAAATCTGGAGTCACGCACCAGTGTCCAAGAATTTTCAAAAAAAAAAATTTGTTATTTTTTCTTATGAAATCGTAGAGAATCTTTTTGTGAAGGTAATAAAACAAAAAGTACGAAATTTGGTGGAAAATTGACGAAATTATGCTCTCGCGAATTTTGATGTGTCAGCGATATTTACGGATCGGCGATTTTGCCGACTTTGACTCCCATTTTAGGCCAATTACATTATTCCAATCAACCAAATTCTTAGCTATTTCGCTAGTATTACTTCTATTCTATCGATTGAGCACAAGAAATCGCCAAGTCAACTGTTTCAACTACAAAATAAAGTGATTGGAAATTGTTAATTTGGCCAATTTAACACACAAAGTTCAAAATATTCCAATTTCAAAATAGGGTCCAGAATGAACAATGTAGGCATTCCTGGCACTAAACTAACATTTTCCTCTGTTCATTAGTTATGTTTTGAGGCTTTACAAATAAATTCCATTTTGATTTTTTATTCACATAATGAATTTTTATTCACACCAAAAAAATAGAAGATTTACTGTTATGCAATACTGTAATAATTGTATAAATATCATCACCATATTTGTGAATGTTTATTAGACCCACCAGCTGACGTGTATTAGACTTTTGAGGTCGTTTGTTTACTCTTGAATATTCGGCAAAAATTTAACATTTCCGCTACTTTGAGCTCAGTTTCAAGCCATTTCCAATGCTAAAACCAATCAAAATCATCTCTATTTCTGTAATATGTCTTCCATTCTATCAAATGAGACCAAGAAATCGCAAATACAACTATAAAAAACATACGAAAAAACACTGCAAAGTTGCTGTTTTAATCGAAAAATCATGATTTCATTTTTTTTCTCTCATTATACACAGTGTGCTGCAGGATCTGTTTTATGTGGTGCACACATACCACATAGATGTATTCTCTCATATCTAGGCCCAAATGTACCACTCACAGTTTATCAGAGGGAGCTGAGCTCATGGCGTAGATCTACGGTTTGGACCCTGAATGTAAAGCCGTAGATCTACGGGACGGACCCTGAAAGGGTTAAGTTACTTTACAAATAGGCATACAGAAAGTCTTACACACTTATGCTAGCATTCAGTATATATACACTTTTTTGTGTATTTCTTAATAGTTCTTGAATTTGTTGTATTTAATTTCCAGTTTAGGAGGACTGGTCTGAGACTGGCCCATTGTGGTTATGATCTCCAGAAACATAAATACATTACAGTTGTAATAGAAACAACACACATCTTTATAGCCATGGTAATGATATTTTCTTAGTCTGTGCACTTGGCTTATTGTATATCTATTAAGTGAATGTATGTGTAGAATTTGTTTGCTACTGCTATGAGAATTAGCAGTGTAGATGGTAAAATTATTAAGAACATAATTTTCTTTCAGAAAACCTGGAGCTGACATTTCAGACTATTTCAATTATGGCTTTAATGAGGAGACCTGGTTCAAGTATTGTGAGCGTCAGAAGAGGATGAGGATCACAGAGTCGGGTGCTGGGTTATCTGGTCTTGGTATCAGTGTTACAAAGGTTAGCCAACAATAACCGTAATTTTTGTATGTGGATACTGAGTACTGTTGCTTAAAAGAAACTTTCAGCAAAGAAGCCTCACCCACTGGGGACCTTATCAAGTACATAGAATACATAAAAACTGTGGTATATGTGGCACACTGAAGACGTGAGCTGCTGCTGAGTCAATGTCAGATGCTGCCAGGGAAAGTCAGGTGCCACGAGGACAGATCAGGTGTTGTTATACTTACTCAGGTGATGCTGGGCTGAGGTGAGGACGAAGAGTTAAGTCGTGGTATCTAGATCTTTACCGTGTTAATTCAATAATTTATGTGCAGTGGGTTTAAACAAAATGTATTTCCCTCCATTTTGTTTTTTGGTTTGGCCAGGTGAATGATGGTAGCCTTAAGACTCATGTTTTTGAGCCTGTTTTCTTTGCAAATAAGATGTGCTTGTTTCCAACCGTATGGGAATGTGTGCTGCAGTACACTACATATTTACATGTGTTGACTATTCTGTATGCATATTTATGTTCCAGCCTGGTATCTAATCCCTTCCTATCTCACCTGCATAAAAGCAATCACAACCACTGCATTGTATACTATTGACTCTTACTGTGCCTGTTTTCTTGTTGGATTGAGGTGTTTTAGTGACTTCTCCGATTTGGGGAGAATGTATGCTCAAATTGGCTCTAGAGTAGGGAAGAGGAGGTTATGGCCACTGTTGTGGGTCTAGTAGTTGTATCTTCTTTGAATAGGGAGAAAGTATTGGAGGCTTTATTTTTGCAGGAGTGGGTGATGTTCAAAGGAAACCTGCCGTTAGAAAAAGCTCTTTATTTTTTTATGTACAGTATATTTGTTTATCTAGTACAAATTTGCTGTCCTAGGTAGTAGGTTGGTAGACAGCAACCGCCCAAGGAGGTACTACCGTCCTGCCAAGTAAGTGTAAAACGAAAGCCTGTAATTGTTTTACATGATGGTAGGATTGCTGGTGTCCTTTTTTCTGTCTCATAAACATGCAAGATTTCAGGTACGTCTTGCTACTTCTGCTTACACTTAGGTCACACTACACATACATGTACAAGCATGTATATACATACCCCTCTGGGTTTTCTGCTATTTTCTTTCTAGTTCTTGTTCTTGTTTATTTCCTCTTATCTCCATGGGGAAGTGGAACAGAATTCTTCCTCCGTAAGCCATGCGTGTTGTAAGAGGCGACTAAAATGCCGGGAGCAAGGGGCTAGTAACCCCTTCTCCTGTATAAGTTACTAAATTTGAAAAGAAAAACTTTTGTTTTTCTTTTTGGGCCACCCCGCCTCGGTGAGATACGACCGGTTTGTTGAAAAAAAAAAAAAATTGCTGTTTCAGATTTGGAGAGCACGTAAGAAAACTCCTCTAATTATTGTATTGCTGTTTTAGTTCTGGTATTGTGATGTGAGAAGAAATGGATCAGGTCATCCTTGGTAACTGGTTTTCCATAGAGTTTGATCTTGAAACAATAGCCACTCTCGATGAGTAGAGAATCATTCTTCTCTCCCAAAATGAATTCAGTTGGAGGTTCTACTTGGTTGAGTTGGCTCTGAAGTTTTGATACAATGAGCAAAACAACATAAACATATCTATCTCACCCAGGAATTGTGTGCCCTGTCTATTCTCTTGAGTATTTTGTATGTTCTTATCGCGTATTTCCTGGTCCTTCTGTCCTCCAGGGTCATTAGATTCAATTCCTTTAGCCTTTCCTTGTAGCTCATACCCCTTAGCTCGGGAACTAGACTCGTTGCATACTTTGGCATTTTGTCTAGTTTCTTAGCGTGCTTCCTAAGGTGTGGGTTCCATACTAGTGCTGTATACTCCCAAGATGACATATGTTGTATAAAGCACCTGGAATGACACACTGTTGAGATTCCTGAAGGTCACTCTTAGATTTGCTAGGTGAGCCTTGGCTGCAGAGGTTATTCACTTGATATGTGCCACTGGCAGTATTCCCAGGTCCTTCTTTCTGAATGAGGTCTGCTTCCGCAATCCCCCCCAAGTCTATACTCTGTCCAGTTTTCTGGCCCCTTCCCCAGTCTTCATAACGTTTCATTTCCTGGGGTTGAATTCAAGTAATTACTTACATGACCAACTCTTCAGTTTGTCCAGATCCTTTTCAGCCTTTCCCCATCCTGATCTGTTTGTATCTCCTCACTAGTTTTACATTATCAGCAAATAGAGATACATCTGACTCATTTCCATGTGGTATTTTGTTCACATAATCCAAAAACAGCACTATTCCTAATACTTATCCTTGTGGTACACTGCTTGTTACTTTTCCCCATTCTGACATCTTCCTGAATATTCACACTTTGCTTCCTTTCCCTAAGGTGCTCCTTGATCCACCAGAGTATGTTTCCAGTTATTCCTGCCTGCTTCTCAAGCTTTTGCCTCAGTTTCATGTGGGGTACAATATCAAATGCTTTCTTGCTGTCTAAGAAAATCCAGTCCACCCAACCTCCTCTCTCCTGTCTCTCTTCCGTTACTTTGTCATAAAATACCCAATACTTGAATAGGTGTCTGACTAGAAGGCCAGCCAGTTGATGGGTTTGTGGAGCCCATAGATGCAAGCAGGTCTGGCATTGCTGGTTGGTGAGGCTTTCTTGCCTTGCAGTGCATGTGATAGGATCTTCCCTGTTTTGGTATCCTCATTAAGTTTTTGGAGAGATTATTTTGTAGGTGTTTGGGTGAGTGAGTAGTTACAACATCTTGGTTTGATATTTGCTGCTCTTGAGTGTGACAGCTTCTCCTCTGTATGTTGATGTGACTGATGTTTGTATTTCTGGCCATATTGCTAAGAGCATCAGTGTAATGCTTTGAGAGAAAGTTTTTTTTTTTTCCTTGCAAGACAATGATGAGTATTCCTTGTATGTATCCTTTATTGCTTCACTATCAGGGTGCCTGTGTTTGCTTGTAACAAAATCAGTATGTTGTCCATGTTTTTGAATATCATTATAGAATTTCAGGTCAAAGCTATGGACATCGGTTTTAGTGTTAGCGAGTTATTGATCAGGTAGTGATGTCAAGTATAGTGTCATTTTCCCATGTACTGTTGTTGTAAAGTGTTTGGAGACAGTCATGTTTGTTGTTTTAGTGTATATTGTTTCAAGATATGCATCGCTGAAGTTTTTGGCTGTGTGCTGTTGCGTGCTGCCACTTAATGAATCCCCTGGTCAAATAACCTATTACCTCCAGTGTTGGCAGTGTCCCTTCATAAACTTATAGACCTAGCCAGACACCTACCCAAGTTTTTGGGTGTCATTAATCCTTTGTATATTAAACACTTGACCTCCTCCTCTCTACTAAATGATATTGCTCTCAAAAACTAAGAAATTCACCAGTTTTGATATAGTCTTGTTCTCCAGAGTTCCTGTCACCCAAGTAATATATTATCTCTGGAATTCAAACCACACACCCTTTGACCTTTCTCTTCCCACACGGAATTTTCTTGGTCTTGTCAAACTGTGTGTCACCTTTAGCTAATCTTTTGAAGAAGGCTTGTATAGGGACAGATTTGGCATGTCCATGAGTTCATCACTTAGTACAGTTTTAGCCAACATTTACATATAGTACTTAGAAAGGGACTAGTTTGGCAATATTATCCACCAAATCTCCTAGCTGAAATATGTTGACATGTTGGTCAACATACCCAGATACTTCATCCTCAGTAACTTCAGAGATCAACTCAGCCACATTGAAGAAGAAGAAGATTATGACTCTTCCCTTTTTGAACATCCTCATCAAAAGTGGTGATCCTTTCTTCTCGTGCTGTGATGTCAGTAAAGGAGGAGTAGTTATAGGCTTTTTCTTATGAGCCACTTGGGTCTATAGCAGTGAATTCACACTAGACGAACAAATAAATAGAAAAGCTTTCTCTGCCCTCAAATTTCCTCTGCACATCATCCATTTCTGGAATAAAAAAGGCTCCGATATTCTATCCAAACCCAGAGAAGACATAACCATCAAGCGACAGTTATTAATTCCCACAGGATCTTTGGCAGTAGCTGTAAGCCTACTTTCTCTGGAAAACTAACAATAGCTTTGATGTTACTCTCCATCAAAACAAGCCAAGAATTCATAGAAATACCTCAACCTAAACAAGAACACAGACATAGTGAAAGCCTACAGTATACTCTACATTTGTTGTGATTGCCTTATGTAGATGAGATGGCAAGGGATTTAGATACCTGATTTAAGAATACAGGTTTGACTGCAAAGTAGTTGACACACACAATGCATGCATGGTGCACTGCAACACACATTCACAGATCATGGACTGGAAACACGGACATCATTTGAAGTAAGTGCAGATGTGTTGAGGCTGCTACCACTCTACTCCACCAACACCATAGATCAGTACAATGGGATGTACATTTCATCTCAACCCACTGCACAGATGATCTTGAAGAAAAATATTAAGTATAAGATACTACAGCTAATCCTTGGACCTCACTTCACCCAACTTCCCTTGACCTTTTGTGGAAAAAGATACAAAATGCAATAACTTAGGACATGTTTATTGGAAAAGCTTTCTAAGTTATTGCATATTCTCTCTCTCTCTCTCTCCCCACAACTTGTTGGTATCCTATACCTGTTTATCCATCACTTGATTTCCCAGTAACAGCTCCTTACCTGTCCTGGAGGCACCTGATCTCTACCATTGATACCTGACCCCTCCTGACATTTCCTGACCTCTCCTGGCAGCATCTGATCAGTCCTGGCAGCTCCTCTCCTCCCCATATGCTTTGTATTGCACTGTTTTTGTGTTCCATGGAAAGTATACCCTTGATTTAGCCAACTTCGATTTAATGGACATTGCAAGTATAACACAAAATTCACTTTGTGAATCGATTCAGAAATGTTGAACAAAGTCTATCGGATGTAGAATTGTCCATTATTGCAGTTGAAGCAAAACAGTTTTAAATCTGTCTGCTACCATCACCATTACTAACAACTTACTCCTCCCATTGGCTTAAGAAAAAATTTCTTTGTTGAAAGTGTGTTTTTATCACCATTTGTTGGCTGATGATCATTTGACTACATATTGTGAATTAAATATTTCTGGAATGGAAATACAGTAACGTTAAAAAAAACTGAGGTTCAAACCTGCTCATAATTTCAGGCTAGAGTACATATATTCAGCATATCAGTGTATTTGGTACCATAGCTTATGCATCTTGCTTTTGAGTAAAAATAAATTCTGAATCTCAATTAACAAATGTAGCAGTTGAAATCTTTTGTAAGTTGAATTTTCTCTTTCAGCCATTTGGTAATTCTAATAGCAGCATTCCAGTTACAATAGTCAATGACAATAGCAAATACAGAGATGCTCTAGCTCAGAGGGTCAAAGCGGGTCCTCCCCCTCGCAACAAAGGCATGGGACAAATTGACGTCATTGGCGGAGTTAACAAGCCGAGTACAATTCAGGTATAGTAAAATATTTCTTTTATATTAGCTGTCAGTTATAGCTGCAATAAAAGCAAATTGAAATAAAGTACTAGAAGAAGGGTGTCAGAATATAATAGAGTAGCAAAATTGAAAGAGACATTTAGTGGAGATGTGTCTGAGGGCAATGTGTGGTGTAAATATTATGCAGAAAATTAGTAGTTTGGAGATTAGGAGGTGTGGAGTTATGAAAAGTATTATCTAGTGGGATGAGGAGGGGTTGAAGTAGTTGGTCATTTAGAGAGGAAGGAGAAAAATAGGATGACTTGGAGGGTGTATAAATCAATACTGGAGGGAAGGCAGGGATAGGGGTCACTCTACGAAAGAATGGAGGGAGGAGGCAAAGGAAGTTTTATGTGCAAAGGGCTTGGACATCCAGCAGGCACATGTGAGCATGTTAGGTAGGAGTGAGTGAAGGCAAATAGTTTTTGGGACCTGACGAGCTGTTGAGGTGTGAGCAAGGTAAAATTTTGTTAAGGGATTCAGGTTAAATTGGTTAGCCAGATTTTAGTCCTGGACGTGGGAAATTCAGTGCCTGCACTCTAAAGGAGAGTTGGGGATATCTGAGGGAGGGGGCATCTGAACTGTAGTATATATGCGCCTCCAGTAAGATAGTGATAGAGTGAATGATAATGAAAGTGTTTCTTTTCCGAGTCACTCTGCCTCAGTGGGAGATGGCCAGTGTGTTAAAAAATTTATATATTTTTTTTAATTATTTATTTTATTATATTACTCTGGAAGTGATAGGTTCTGATCATGTCTAAGAGACAGAGTCCATCGATGGTGATGTCGTATTACCTTACTAGTACCATGACTTCCAAATTTACAGCATTAATGCAGTCCGATATTATAATTACTGTATGTATATTGTGCATGTGCTTTGTCATCATACTTTGATTTCAACCTTTATATTGTAATGCAGGTGATATGAAAATACTGTGTTAACTGCTGTGCAGGAAACTGCTGATTTAGTTCCATTTGTTTAAATTTATGGCTTCTATGGTGAGAAACAATTTATATTTAAACATCTTCACCAGTTACCCTAAAAGATATGGAAATATTACATGTTTTGACTGTTGATGCAGAAAAAACTGATTTACTCCTGTCTGTGATACCAGATTATACCCCTCACTTATACCTGGGGGTTATGGAAAAGTCTGAAGATTGTAATGAAAATAAATTCATCTTAGGGCTGGTAACACAGGCAGGCCCCACTTTACAGTGTTTTGTTTATACAGTGGTTTGCAATTATACCCATTGTTCATTTATTCAGACGTTCTACAGTAAATATATTCGCCATTTACTATAAGCTAAAAATGAAAATATTTTAAGTAATGTATGTACTGTATATGCATTTTTTAGGCCTAGCTCTGTTGCTCATTTAATATATGATAGTGTAAATATGTTAGCAGGCTTTTATATGCATTTTAAAGTAATAAAAAAGCCCTCTTGCATACAGTATGTCACTTCCTTTGTGGGAAATGGCTTGTGAATTAGTATTACATCAGCCTTTTACACTAAGAAGTGGTGACCTAAAGATGGAAATACATTCACCATCACTACTTTTTTATCTTTCTCCCCAAAAATTAATGGACATAAGTCAATTAGTGTTCACATTGTTAAGCAGCATACATATTCTGCAGGATTATGTGAATACCACTGATCTTATAGTTCATTAGTTTTTACATAGTATGCTTACCTATTTGTAGTTACAGGAGCAGAGATATACCTCTGGTAGTTTATCCTTTATTTTTCTTTGTCAGGTTATGACAGCAGACAGGCGAGAGTATTCCAATAAAGTAATGATGAATGGTCCTCCTCCACCATTACCATCTACCACGCCAGGATACAATGATATGGAGTAAGCTCTTTTTCATTTTTGTTTATTTGTGTTCTGTTTCCTCTGTTTGTAGCATGAGATAGATAATAACCTGCTACATCTTCATTGCTAACCTTGGTCTTTTGTGAAAGGGATTCATTCACAAACATAATTTGACCATAAGCAGAGTGGAAGAGCATTACTGTTGTTGCTGGCTATTTTCTTCTAGCATGGTGCATAGCCCCTACACCGAAAGCTAACCATGGAATTTTGTTATAGCTGTGTTCACTGGAATTTCCATGTTCTAATATCTTTAAGATCTTATTTATGTACTGATGTTAAGCACATTAGAGCAATGTGTATATAGAAACATGGCAAGAAAACATATTGAGAAGTCACACCAGCAATGAGATTTCTCTGGAAATGATCTATAATCAGTTTCACATACCTTCATGTTTTCTTTATTCAAACTAATACCCATCACTGATTCATAATTTCTTGTTAGTCTATCATGTTGTAAAGGTTTGTACGCATGATCTGTTTTTTATCCATTCTAGTGTTTAATGAGGATTTTAATGTTTTTCACTTGTCCCTAAGTCTTGTCTATAATTTTTTTCAACAATTCGGAAATTACACAAGTTATTTTGTTTAGCCTTCTATCTCTGGTACTAACCTTTTCTTATTTGTGAACATTTCCTATGAGTTCTTCATTTTTCTCAGTGTTATCACTGTTTTATTGTCGTTTCAGATTCAGCTGCCTTTGTCTTGGCAGCTGTGTCCTTTTCAAGTTGTTTTTCAGCTTCCCTACTCGCCCAAAGATAATCATTTCTGGCTTTCTGCTAGCCTCCCTGTTCTCTGGCATAGGTTTGGTAGTACTGTAAATAAACACTTAAAGCAGTAAGTCCTTATTGGTATAGCATTACACCAAGAAGTGGATTTCATCAAGTACCTTTGATATACCTTAAGAAAATGAGAAAAATAGAGTTGGTATATACTATAGAGTATCCAGTCAGGTGTAGCTTTAAAAATAGGTTGGATAAAAATCAGTGCTAGGAACCAGAGCAGTTTTGAACAAAGATATGTGTTATGTGCACCACAACCATTTGAGACAGTATGAGAAGCCCTACACCCAACATAGGACCCAAGGATGCAGGAGTCTGTAGAATTCCCTGTGATTATCAAATGGTATACAATACCGACAGGTTGGTAGATAAGACACATAGGCAACATTTAGGCAACTTTATTCCGAAACGTTTCGCCTACACCAGTGGTATTCATTGTGCGGCTCACGATGACTCAATTCACGGCTCATGTCTACTTTTTCTCATTTACTATATTTCACTAGCAGCTCAGTACTACTTAATTTAGTTGAGTTACGCTAACTTGCAGTAGCTGCAGCTCTCTCAATCAATGTGTTTAACCGAAGTGGCTCTCTTGCAAAAATTAGTGAATAACACTGCCCTACACAGTAGACTTCTTCAATCTTCTTCGACTGAAGAAGCCTACTGTGTAGGCGAAACGTTTCGGAATAAAGTTGCCTAAATGTTGCCTATGTGTCTTATCTACCAGAATTCCCTGTAGTGGATGTGGTCATGTCTAAATTAGTGAAACTACTAGGAATCTTCCCATTTGCTTATAAGAACAAAAATACACCTATAAAAAAGACAGCACCACAGTACCTACTCCCAAATCATGGCATAGGACAGAGCCAGGCTTCTGTTTCAAGAAAATGACAAGATTGAATGTAGGTGTTTGAAGCCACCTACAATCAAACTAAATAACACCATAATACAAAATTGTAGTATGTTTATTTTGGCAACTACCAGAGCACCTCATCTTGGGACAAAGGAAACATGGCATGGACAGTAGGCCTCTTACATTGCAACTACTCGTCATGTGTTTATGTAAAGTGACCCTTTCACTCACATATTGGGCCACTTTTATTTTTAAAAGCTACACCTGACCACTTGCTAATTATATCAGAATGTGACTTAATGAGGGCGAATATAGGCCTTTAATTCTCTAATGCTCTTGTAATCTACTTCAATAAGAAAGATTGTGATAAGTTGTATCAAATGATTTTTGTGTATCAGTAAATGATAAGATGATAGTGTTAAACATTGTTATCATTGTATTGTTTGTATTTGCTTAGAGCTAAAACCAAACTGGCATGGGTTTTAAGCTTAGATATTTTGTTTGATTGTGAATGAACTATATTTGTTTGCATATTTTCTCAAATTTTAGATATATGTAATTAGTGAGTTAATAATTGGCCTGTAATTAGATACATCTGTTGGATCCTCACTTTCAAGAATTTGTGCAATCCTGGCTTGCTGAGTATGTCTAGGAAATTATTCATTCCAAGAGATATGTTGAGAGTTAAAATTATTAGTGATGGCATGTATGCAGCTTTCCAATATGTGATTTTTAGTAGTACAGTGGACCCTCGTTTTTCGTAATTAATTTGTTCCAGAGAGTGGGACTATTATCAAAATTGATGATTTGCAAATCCATTTTCCCCATAAGAAATAATGTAAATCCAATTAATTCGTTCCAGACACCCAGAAGTATCAAAAAAAAAAATTTTTTTTACCTTAGATAGATTTACATGTACAAAAGAATGAACATTCAACATGACAGTTACCTTTATTGAAGGCTGTTGTTGATGAATGGAAGACAATGAGGAGGAGAGAGGGAAGAAAGGTTATTGTTTGGAAGGGGAATCCCTCTCCATAAGAACTCAAGGTCACTTCAGGGGTCACTTCCCTAGCCACTTCCCTAGCTTAACCCTTTCAGGGTCCGTCCCGTAGATCTACGGCTTTACGTTCAGGGTCCAAACCGTAGATCTACGTCATGAGCTCAGCTCACTCTGATAAACTGTGAGTGGTACATTTGGGCCTAGATATGAGAGAATACTTCTATGTGGTATGTGTGCACCACATAAAACAGATCCTGCAGCACACTGTGTATAATGAGAGAAAAAAAATGAAATCATGATTTTTCGATTAAAACAGCAACTTTGCAGTGTTTTTTTCGTATGTTTTTTATAGTTGTATTTGCGATTTCTTGGTCTCATTTGATAGAATGGAAGACATATTACAGAAATAGAGATGATTTTGATTGGTTTTTTGCACTGGAAATGGCTTGAAACTGAGCTCAAAGTAGCAGAAATGTTAAATTTTTTGCCGATATTCAGAGTAAACAAACGACCTCACACGTCTAATACACGTCAGCTGGTGGGTCTAATATACATTCACAAATGTGGTGATGATATTTATACAATTATTACAGTATTGCATAACAGTAAATCTTCTATTTTTTGGTGTGAATAAAAATTCATTATGTGAATAAAAAATCAAAATGGAATTTATTTTGTAAAGCCTCAAAACATAACTAATGAACAGAGGAAATGTTAGTTTAGTGCCAGGAATGCCTACATTGTTCATTCTGGACCCTATTTTGAAATTGGAATATTTTGAACTTTGTGTTAAATTGGCCAAATTAACAATTTCCGATCACTTTATTTTGTAGTTGAAACAGTTGACTTGGTGATTTCTTGTGCTCAATCGATAGAATAGAAGTAATACTAGTGAAATAGCTAAGAATTTGGTTGATTGGAATAATGTAATTGGCCTAAAATGGGAGTCAAAGTTGGCAAAATCACCGATTCGTAAATATCGCTGACACATCAAAATTCGCGAGAGCATAATTTCGTCAATTTTCCACCAAATTTCGTACTTTTTGTTTTATTACCTTCACAAAAAGATTCTCTACGATTTCATAAGAAAAAATAATTTTTTTTTTTTTGAAAATTCTTGGACACTGGTGCGTGACTCCAGATTTGGGCCTTGGACCCTGAAAGGGTTATATATAGATTTACATGCAGAAAAGAATGCTAAATAAATGTAAAGCACTTATAAAATGTATAAATGAACATTTAACATCACACTTACCTTTATTGAAGACTCTTGTTGGTGTATGGCAGATGGGGCAGAGGGAGGGAAGGTGAGTTTATTGTTGGAGAATATAACACTAATATCAACTCTGTGGCTTATTTATCTATCACAATTCAACTAATATGACATAATAAACAATATTAATGACATAGAAACATGGAATATACTCTAGAATGAATAAAATAAGTCATGTTTGCTATGAGAGGTGTTGTGTTGTTGGGTGTATAAGGGCCACTGAGAGCATAAGCTGTCCATAATGGTGGTGAAGCAGCAGCTGAGGTGGCAGTGTTTTCTGTAGCCCTATATAACTCCAACAACATTGGAGGAGTTAGTAGAATTGCTGAATCACTGAAGAAGGCACCCTCTACCACCATCACAACTGCTACCACCATCACTGCCACTACCATCACTGCCACTACCACCACTGCCACTACCACCCTTTACCACCATCACAACCACTACCATCACTACCACCCTCTACCGCTATCACAACTGCTACCACCCTCTACCATCACTACCACCCTCTACCACTATCACAACTGCTACCAACCTCTACCATCACTACCACCCTCTACCACAATCACAACTGCTATCACCCTCTACCACTACACAACTGCTACCACCCTCTATCCACTATCACAACTGCTACCACCCTCTACCACTATCACAACTGCTACCACCCTCTACCACTCACAACTGCTACCACCCTCTACCACTAAACACAACTGTACCACCCTCTACCACTATCACAACTGCTACCACCCTCTACCACTATCAAACTGCTACCACCCTCTACCACTAATCATAACTGCTACCACCCTCTACCACTATCACAACTGCTACCACCCTCTACCACTATCACAACTGCTACCACCCTCTACCACTTACTAACTCTCTACCACCCACTATACCCCACTATCACAACTGCTACCACCCTCTACCACTATCATAACTGCTCCCACCCTCTACCACTATCACAACTGCTACCACCCTCTACCACTATCAAAACTGCTACCACCCTCTACCACCTATCACATAACTCTAACACCCTCTACCACTATCACAACTGTACCACCCTCTACCACTATCACAACTGCTCCACCCTCTACCACTATCATAACTGCTACCACCCTCTACCACTATCACAACTGCTACCACCCTCTACCACTATCACAACTGCTACCACCCTCTACCACTACCACAACTGCTACCACCCTCTACCACTATCACAACTGCTACCACCCTCTACCACTATCACAACTGCTACCACCCTCTACCACTATCACAACTGCTACCACCCTCTACCACCATTACTACCACTCTCTACCACCATCACTATCACCCTCTACTACTATCACAACTGCTACCACCCTCTACCACCACCACTTTTTGTATTTTTCTACAAACTTTTTCTTAACCCTTAAATGGTCCAAACGTACATATACGTTTTTTCAACATCTGAAAGTATGTAAAAAAATGTAGATCTTTTTTTTTTTTGTTTTACTTGTGAAAACGTGTAAAAAACTTTTATCTACACTTTTTTTTATATATTTGAAAATACGTATGTAAAAAAAAGTAGATCTACTTTTGTAGCACTACGAATTTGAATGTCGATCTGTTTGGACCGTTTAAGGGTTAAATTATGTGTGTTTCTCACATTCTTTACCAAAGGGCTGGCACTAGAAGCTTTCTTTGGAGCCATGGTGGCTTATTTAGCAGTTGCAAGCACTAAAACGAATGGAATATTATGAAGTGTATTGTATGAACTTGTGGGATCATCCTCACTCACTGATAAACAATGGCACACTGGCTGGGAATGGTGTGAGGCTACTCGGGGCTGTGCATACGTGTCCAAGAAACGACTATTTGCAAGTCAAACGACGATTTTCGAGTCAGTTTTGAGGAAAAAAAATTAGGATTTTTGAAAATCACGACTTTCGAGCCTTACAAAAAACGAGGGTCCACTGTGTGTCAGTTTTGCTGCTTGTTTCATTTTTCATGAGTTTACTTCTGAAGGAGTGATTGTACCTGTTTACCCCATCCGAGGAAATATTCAACATATGTTTTCTGGGCGCTTCCTTTAACTCAAGTTTCATTAACTTTTTTTTTTCCAACATGCTGGCCATCTCCCACTGAGGCAGGGTGACCCAAAAAAGAAGAAACATTTTCACCATCATTCAACACTTTCACCATCATTCACACATAATCACTGTTGGAATGGGCTAGTAATCCTTTTTTCCCATACAGCTACTCAAAATGAAAAGAAGAAATCCATTCCCATGCTCTTTTTCTGCATGTATTAACTTAAAAATTGTTTACAGGTTTGGCGGTAATCCATATGGTGAAGCATATTATGCAAATGAGCCTCCCTTCTTTGGAGGGTCTGGATTTGAGAATCCTCCACCATGGACACCAGGACAACCACCTCCACTACCAGGGCAGAACAACTGGGAGGGACCTGGGAGTGCTACCCCAAATATCACACCAGTATCAAGTGGAACACCTTACTTTGAAGAAGACTCTCTTGGTGCTCCTCCAGTACCATCAGAACCTGAAGAGGAAAGACATAGGTAAAAAACAAAAGTGATTTATAATAATTTGTTTTGAACTCAATTTATTTGTATTGTAGCATTTCTGTTTTAGGGGAGAGGAAGATGATTTAAATATCTGCATCTCCATATTACTACTTATTCATGAATACCTCTTACCTCATTAATACCCAGTCTTAATGTATGTACTACAATAATTCCTCTTTTTCCTTACTCTTCTACTTATAAATATTAGCAGTCTGTACCAAGTATTTTTTTTTTTATCCAGTAGGGTAAGTTTCATTTCATCCACAAGTTAGCAGTGCAAGGCTTTTTGTTTTACAAAAAAATAATTTCTTATCTTGTACTAAATTTAATTAATGTTTGGCACTCTTGGTTGAAACAGTTTTCACTTATAGAATCTTTTTTTTCTATGTTAGATTAATAGATATCTATCCAGAGTGTGTGTAAGCACTCTAAGAAGTGTATACTGTGATACTCTAAAACAACTGCATGCAGTTAAATGATAGTTGATATATAAATGCTTAGGTGTCCTGTGGTTCGGTTGGTAGCACACTCGAGCTCACACACTGAGTGTCCATGGTTCGATCCCCAGTACAGGTGAAAACAATGGGCATGTTTCCTTACACCTACTGCCCCTGTTCACCTAGGAGCAAGTAAGTACCTGGGTGTTAGTTGAGTGGTGTGGGTTGCATCCTGGGGGGGGGGAGGAGGTAGTATACCTCTGATAGGACTGGGGCTTTGAAATGAGCTGAGGTAGGATTACAGCTCTTAGCCTGCAAAAATTGATTTGTGTAAGAAAAAAATATTACATGAAGGTATATGATCTTTTACTAATTATTCACCAGCTGCAACTCTGGTTACAAATGTACTATGATTTCAGCAACACTCAGTGTGCTTAATTTATTTACAAAAATATATGGGAGTCTTTTGAAGTCAGGAAAATTTACAATCCAGTGCATTTTTGCTAAAGTTATTAAAAAAATAGAATATCTGAGAGCTTGAACTGGCCAAGACATATTATGGCAGAGTGGAACTAATTGGTTTTGACATTTGGTATCAGCATATAATGTCACTTTATAAACAGTGAAGCTTTCTTTCTTCTTTTAACGCACCAGCCGTATCCCACTGAGGTGGGGTGGCCCAAAAGGAAAAACGAAAGTTTCTCCTTATAAATTTAGTAATATATACAGGAGAAGGGGTTACTAGCCCCTTGCTCCCGGCATTTTAATCGCCTCTTACGACACACATGGCTTACGGGAGGAAGAATTCTGTTCCACTTCCTCATGGAGATAAGAGGAAAGAAACAAGAACAAGAACTAGAAAGAAAATAGAAGAAAACCCAGAGGGGTATGTATATATATGCTTGTACATGTAGTAGGTTGGTAGACACAACCACCCAGGGGGGTACTACCGTCCTGCCAATTGAGTGTGAAACGAAAGCCTGTAATTGTTTTACATGATGGTAGGATTGCTGGTGTCTTTTGTCTGTCTCATAAATATGCAAGATTACAGGTACGTCTTGCTACTTCTACTTACACTTAGGTCACACCACATACATGTACATGTTTATTTATACACACTCACCTGAGTTTTCTTTGGTTTTTATTCTTAATAGTTCTTGGTCTTATTACTTTTCCTTTTATATCCATGGGAAAGTGGAATAAGAATCTTTCCTCCGTAAGCCATGCATGTTGTAAAAGTCAGCTAAAATGCCGGGAACAGTGGGCTAGTAACCCCTTTTCCTGTAATAAATTACTAAAAACAATAATAAGAAAATTGTCAAAGTGGGAAGTCTGAATATGCGTGGATGTTGTGCAAATGATAAGAAAGAGATGATTATGGATGTTATGAATGAGAAGAAGCTGGATGTCCTGGCTTTAAGTGAAACAAAGCTGAAGGGGGTGGGAGAGTTTCAGTGGAGAGGAATAAATGGGAATAGGTCAGGGGTTTCAAATAGAGTTAGAGCTAAAGAAGGAGTAGCAATAATGTTGAAGGATAAGTTATGGCAGGAAAAGAGGGACTATAAATGTATTAATTCAAGGATAATGTGGAGTAAAATAAAGGTTGGATGCGAAAAGTGGGCTATAGTTAGCGTATATGCACCTGGAGAAGAGAGAAGTGTAGAGGAGAGAGAGAGAGAGAGATTTTGGGAAATGTTGAGTGAATGCGTGGGGAGTTTTGAACCAAGTGTGAGAGTAATGGTGGTTGGGGATTTCAATGCTAAAGTGGGCAAAAATGTTGTAGAGGGAGTAGTAGGTAAATTTGGGGTGCCAGGGGTAAATGAAAATGGGGAGCCTTTAATTGAGCTATGTGTAGAAAGAGGTTTGGTAATAAGTAATACATATTTTATGAAGAAGAGGATAAATAAATATACAAGGTATATTATAGCATGTAATGAAAGTAGTTTGTTAGATTATGTATTGGTGAATAAAAGGTTAATGGGTAGGCTCCAGGATGTACACGTTTATAGAGGGGCAACTGATATGTCGGATCATTATTTAGTTGTAGCTACAGTTAGAGTAAGAGGTAGATGGGAAAAGAGGAAAATGGCAACAACAAGCATGTGGGAGGTGAAAGTGTATAAACTAAGGGAAGAGGAAGTTCGGGTGAGATATAAGCAACTATTGGCAGAAAGGTGGACTGGTGCAAGTATGAGTAGTGGGGGGGGAGTTGAAGAGGGTTGGAATAGTTTTAAAAATGTAGTATTAGAATGTGGGGCAGAAGTTTGTGGTTATAGGAGGGTGAGCGCAGGAGGAATGAGGAGTGATTGTTGGAATGATGAAGTAAAGGGTGTGAAAAAAGAGAAAAAGTTAGCTTATGAGAGGTTTTTACAAAGCAGAAGTGTTATAAGAAGAGTAGAGCATATGGAGAGTTAAAGAAAGGTGAAGAGAGTGATGAGAGAGTGCAAAAGGAGAGCAGATGATAGAGTGGGAGAGGCACTGTCAAGAAATTTTAATGAAAATAAGAAAAAATTTTGGAGTGAGTTAAACAAGTTAAGAAAGCCTAGAGAACGAATGGATTTGTCCGTTAAAAACAGAGTAGAGGAGTTAGTACATGGGGGAGATAGAGGTTTTGGGTAGATGGCGAGAATATTTTGAGGAACTTTTAAATGTCGACGAAGAAAAGGAGGCGGTAATTTCATGCACTGGCCAGGGAGGTATACCATCTTTTAGGAGTGAAGAAGAACAGGATGTGAATGTGGGGAAGGTGCGTGAGGCATTACGTAGAATGAAAGGGGGTAAAGCAGCTGGAACTGACGGGATCATGACAGAAATGTTAAAAGCAGGGGGGGATATAGTGTTGGAGTGGTTGATACTTTTGTTTAATAAATGTATGAAAGAGGGGAAGGTACCTAGGGATTGGCAGAGAGCATGTATAGTCCCTTTATATAAAGGGAAAGGGGACAAAAGAGATTGTAAAAATTATAGAGTAATAAGTTTACTGAGTATACCAGGAAAAGTGTACGGTAGGGTTATAATTGAAAGAATTAGAGGTAAGACACAACGTAGGATTGCGGATGAGCAAGGAGGTTTCAGAGTGGGTAGGGGATGTGTAGATCAAGTGTTTACATTGAGGCATATATGTGAACAGTATTTAGATAAAGGTAGGGAAGGTTTTATTGCATTTATGGATTTAGAAAAGGCATATGATGGAGTGGATAGGGGAGCAATGTGGCAGATGTTGCAAGTATATGGAATAGGTGGTAAGTTACTAAATGCTGTAAAGAGTTTTTATGAGGATAGTGAGGCTCAGGTTAGGGTGTGTAGAAGAGAGGGAGAATACTTCCCAGTAAAAGTAGGTCTTAGACAGGGATGTGTAATGTCACCATGTTTTTTTTTTTTTCAACAAGTTGGCCGTCTCCCACCGAGGCAGGGTGACCCAAAAAAGAAAGAAAATCCCCAAAAAGAAAATACTTTCATCATCATTCAACACTTACACCACACTCACACATTATCACTATTTTTGCAGAGGTGCTCAGAATACAACAGTTTAGAAGCATATACGTATAAAGATACACAACATATCCCTCCAAACTGCCAATACCCCAAAACCCCTCCTTTAAAGTGCAGGCATTGTACTTCCCATTTCCAGGACTCAAATCCGACTATATGAAAATAACCGGTTTCCCTGAATCCCTTCACTAAATATTACCCTGCTCACACTCCAACAGATCGTCAGGTCCCAAGTATCATTCGTCTCCATTCACTCCTGTCTAACACGCTCATGCACGCTTGCTGGAAATCCAAGCCCCTCGCCCACAAAACCTCCTTTACCCCCTCTTTCCAACCCTTTCGAGGACGACCCCTACCCCTCCTTCCTTCCCCTATAGATTTATATGCTTTCCATGTCATTCTACTTTGATCCATTCTCTCTAAATGACCACACCACCTCAACAACCCTCTTCTGTCTGCCCTCTGACTAATGCTTTTATTAAATCCACACCTTCTAATTTCCACACTCCAAATTTTCTGCATAATATTTACACCACACATTGCCCTTAGACAGGACATCTCCACTGCCTCCAACCGTCTCCTCGCTGCTGCATTTACCACTCTAGCTTCACATCCATATAAGAGTGTTGGTACTACTATACTTTCATACATTCCCTTCTTTGCCTCCATAGATAACATTTTTTGACTCCACATATACCTCAACGCACCACTCACCTTTTTTCCCTCATCAATTCTATGATTAACCTCATCCTTCATAAATCCATCCGCTGACACGTCAACTCCCAAGTATCTGAAAACATTCACTTCTTCCATTCTCCTCCCCAATTTGATATCCAATTTTTCTTTATCTAAATCATTTGATACCCTCATCACCATACTCTTTTCTATGTTCACTTTCAACTTTCTACCTTTACACACATTCTCAAACTCATCCACTAACCTTTGCAATTTTTCTTTAGAATCTCCCATAAGCACAGTATCATCAGCAAAAAGTAACTGTGTCAATTCCCATTTTGAATTTGATTCCCCATAATTTAATCCCACCCCTCTCCCGAACACCCTAGCATTTACTTCTTTTACAACC